ACATAAATAGGTTATAATGATTTTCATTCAGTCAGACTTTACGCTGACTCTAGCCACATGCATCACAGGTAGATTCTAGTAAAACACTGATTAATGATTTATGAGTCCATGATTATGTGTCTATGTGGCTGAACACCACACGGCACGATCGAACCGATTGAACTGTTATACGTGGGATTTCTGTCGGCTAATGTGTCTCTCAGGTTTTGAAAATGGGCCGACAATCGGCCGACAACTCGTGTCGTGTGCGCTGGACATTACACTAAGGAAATGAGGAAGGGAGGGTCAGTGGAGAGCACCGGAGCGGAGCCTTTTTTCATTCAGTGTCATTAAGAGAAAGAAAAAAAAGGAAGGAAGAGACGATAAAGCCGATGATTAAAATGAGGTCGATAGGTTTAATTTATCGTGCGATTAATTGATTTATCGTTTATCACGACAGTCCTACCTGTGATTGCCACGTTTTATTTTGTAAGTTATGTTACAAAACATATCTTTTTGCACCACCTTTCATTATTAAAAAAAGGATACATGTTATAGGAGTCTGAAACTCCTCCAAGCACACGCTGCACGATATAATTCCCGTGTTCCGAGTTCTCTCCCTGAAACACAAAATATTGTGAACATATTTTTTGCAATCGGCGTCATTTCAAAAGCAACGTCAGCTCTATCGGAATCCTCACATCTTGACGTCGCAGGACTTCTCGTGGTTGCAGAACGGACACGTGAACTGGGTATCCAGGTTGCCCGTCATCTTCTTTTTGGGTGGTGGCTTTCTCTTGGACTTCCTGCGTCCCATCGTATCCCTGCAGGAGAGACAAACACCACCATGTTAGTGTTCTCATCCATAGCATTTTACTTAGAGAAATTAAATTACTGTAAATATAAAGGCAGGCACACCATACTTTAAAGATTTGATTTAAAAATCCCAAGAGTCTCCACACTGAATCAGATTATCCCTATAAAATGTTTTTTTTCCGACTAAATGTAAATAAATTCAAACACTATCAATACTTTTGCAAATACATTCCTAAAACCTTTGTTTGTTTTTTTTTTTTTTTCAGAATTACTGGATATATTTTCTACTAAGTCTACTACACGTTTCTTTACACCAACATAAAGTTAATACGTCTTTTTAAATGTTTGCAAACTCTTCATGTATTTACCAAAATGAGGAACGACTTAGAAAGACACAACGGCACAGAGATGCTGCAAAGATGTAGCTAGCAGCTGTTAGCATGTTCATGCTAACAGGTAACTGACGTTTGCTTGTAGCGCTTATCAAGCGGACAAAAGCCAGGCTTTAAACGCGCCGAACCTTTATCTCCATGCTTTACCTTTTCACCATTTGACTAATATCGCTACCGTTATCTTACCAAAATGATGACAGCAGCGGAGGATGCTCAGGAGTTCGTTTACCAACCCGTTGCGTATTCAATATCTGTTAGGACGTCGTCCATTGGTCAGGGGAGGCATTACACGGGCTCTGGTTGGTTCCAAACTGTCCAATAGTGGCGCTCCTTCTCTAACACCCGCCTCCTACCGGAATATAGAATAGAATAGAATAGAATAGAATAGAATAGAATAGAATAGAATAGAATGGCGTTTTGCACAGAAAAAGGAAATCCTTTTTTATATATCTTTTTTGAAAGAAAAAAGACGTTTTGAAAAAAAAAAAAACAGGACATATACTTGATATGGATATTTCTGTGTAGAAATACATGAAATAATAAAAGAAATGTCTACGTTTTTTATGAAGCGTTTCTCTATTTAATAATAGGTGAAGGATGCTTTTTAGTATAAGCTACCTAAGCTTTAAATTGCATTGTAGACTCTGAAAGAACGATGTTTTTATATTCGGCAAAAATAAAAAATATATATCACAAAGAAAATATTGTGTGAAGTTGTCATTTAAACAGAAGCGGGTGCTATGCTAGTCAGGGGTTTACACACATGCTAGTAAATAAAACATCAGTGTAGAGGCTGTGACAATATATGTCAAAAATGAACCAATTAAAAACAGTGTCACGACAAACGGTCGCTTAGCCAAGAATGCGATTGGTCTGTTTCCATGAAAGAGGCGGGGCTATTGATTCCAGAAATTTGACAGAGGAAGTGGCTGTCCCTTTGAACTTTGGTTCTTACTCTTGTTGATAGACGGTGGTTGTCCTTCCTAAAAGCGCTCTGGACTAAGGTAGGCATCGTTTCTTTGGTCATGCTGAACTTATTCCCGCTGTAATTATGTAAAGTAAGTCGTGGATAAAGCTAGTGCAGCTGCGATGCTTATACATGTGTAACTGTGATAGCTGAGTGGCTAACAGCTCGGTAGCCTTACTTGCACGCTTACTTCAGGTTTTTGTTGTTGTTCTTTGCAGTTTAGATTGTTTCTACACCTTCTTCCTCTTCTCCTCCTCAATATATTGTCTTTGCTATGCTTGCATATCATTTTACGACGAATAAAGAGTGGAGTGAAATTACTGTTCTGCCTCCTTCTTATCTCACCCTGAGGTGCTTATCTGGTCTGCTGCATGAGCGAAGTTGAGGCGTCAGTGACGCCCAAGTAATTTCTATCTTTGAGACCATTAGTTTTGCTCAAACATCTCCCGGTTTTTTTTCTGAACATTAAAGATTCTGTTTGGGAAAAGGAAAATAAAAATGTCTTTTGCAACAGATTATAAGGTCTTGTTTTTACAAGTGGGAGCAGCTGATTTATCATTTTAAAAGCTGAAATTATACTTGAACTAAGACCCCAATTCCCAGAGGAGTTGACAAGGAAGCTTCATGGATGGAATGAGGAAGTTTAAACTATTCCTTTGGCAGGAGGAAAATAAATTAATTGTTGAATTTTCTTCTGACTTAGAAATTAGAATGTAAAAAGTGTTTGTATTTTCTCAGCAGCCCTAACTGAATGGCTTGTATCAAAATAGTTGCTTCAGCTACATCTACACTTCTTTTGGGGCGTCTCTACCAGTTTGGCATATCAGGAAGAACCTCAGTCAGGTTGGATAGAGAGTATTTGAATATGAACTTTGAAGGTTCACCACATACTCCCAGTTTTATGGACTCTGACTGGACTGTTCTAACACATGAAAATTGTTTTATGTAAATCAAGGCTTAATGAAAAGGCAAACCAATAAACTTGACATAAATTGTAAAACTGTTGAAGAAATAAAGGTATAAATGGATAATTACATAAAGACAAAATTGTACCAATGATTGAAACGAGTACAAGCATTTCAAAATATGTCATAAACACCATACAAATAAATAAATGAGTCAATGGCAGTTTACCTGAATTGTTAAGGACTCTTAAGACAAATAATCAGTATTTTAGGAAGTTTAATAGTTTTGTACAAAAAGTTATCAAAAATAACCAAACTTCACTATGGAGTTCTGTTTTGCGAATTGGTAAGATTAACAAAGTGGGACCTAAAAACAAATGTTAGCGATAAAACTAGCAATTGTCGACAAGAGGATCCAAACAACGTGAATGTCAATCAACTCACCACTGAATCTGGTGAATCCATGTCAAGTTTTCATCGACCTTTGGGATGTAAGAGGCTGGCCACACACAGCCAACGCTTTTAGAACAGCACCCCTAGTGGCTGGAGGAATGAACGGGTTATAGACCTGATGAAGTTGCTTAAATGTGCATCTTTCCTCAGGTTGTGAGAACCACATTTTTCACTATCTGTCTTGTTTGCATAGTGATGCCATGGCAACGGAGGGGGAGCCAACCGACGCGATCAAAGTGTTGCACCTGCTGCTGCTCGCCTTCACCTGGGGCATGCAGGTGTGGGTCTCCTTCATCGGAGGTAAGCGTGGCCCAACCCGGCAGAGGAAGCGAGGCGTGCCACAAGCGTTTCTGGCGGTAACGCTGTTCGGTTTCCCCATGTCCGCAGGTTTCGCTCTGGTGAAGCAGGTGTCGTTGCACACCTTTGGTTTGGTCCAGAGCAAGCTGTTTCCCATCTACTTCTACTGCCTGCTGGGAAGCAACTTCACCAGCCTGGCCGTGTACGCCGTGTACCACCCCAGAGAGCTGCTGGACTGGCACGAAGGCGTGCAGGTGAGCATCAATAACTCCCTCTTTGACGGTAAAAAAAAAATACTGTTGGTTTGGCATCGTTTTCTCTTCCTCTCGTCGCCCAGATGCTGATGTTCTTCGTGGCGCTGATAACGGCAGGCCTGAACGCCCAGTGGTTCGGCCCAGTGGCCACCGAGGTCATGTTCCAGATGAGGGCGGTGGAGGAGGAGCACGGCCTGGGGAACCAGGTGGGGCTGGGCAGCCAGAGGGAGGACTACGCCAAGCTGAAGGAGCAGGACCCAAAGTACCGGGCCTACAGGAAGACGTTTGGGCGGTACCACGGCCTGTCCAGCCTCTGCAACCTCATCGGCTTCCTCTGCATCACAACTAACCTGGTCTACACCGCTCTCAAGCTGTCCACCATTTAAACACCAGCATTATATAGGCGTCAGGTCCGCAGGCATTCATGCAGTATTCAGTTTCCCACATTTTATTAAAAAACAAAAGTTTTATTGGGATTTTAGTGCGACAAACGAACATAAAAAAGTACTAAAAAGGGAAATGGTATTTCAAATCTACTGGGGACACAATGCAAACGTCAACTAATTATATAGTAAAAAACGATGCAAAAACAAACAAGCGAGACGCTCGGATGTTTAAGAATAAAATACAGTACATTTAATAAAACGAACCCACCGTTGTAAATATTAAACAAAAAGGAGGAAAAACTATTCTTAAAACAGAAAAGTTCCACTAATGTATAAACTCAAGTGATTTAGTTGGGGTTGAACTTCTAACTTCTGAATTTCTAAACAAAATCTTCTCCAATTAGAAGAAGTTATTTATAATAAGCACAGTCCAAAACACTATATCATTCTCCAAGACTGGAGTAAGTTAATTTTTATAGTACAGTCAACATCAAAACTTCTTATAAGCCCACAAATCACCTTGTATAAAATAAAAAAAAAAAGACAAATGTTTTGAAGTGGGTTTACAAAAACTTGTTGAAGTTTAATTTCAGGAATATAAGTATTTTTAAACTGCAACATCACCCTGAACACATCATCCCCACAGAGAAACATGGTGGTAGTAGCATCATGTTTTGGGAGTGTTTTCTTTATATATATATATATATATATATATATATATATATATATATATATATATTAACTAATTATTTCATAAGTGATCCAGGATGTATTTTTTCAATCACGGCACAGACAGACAGAGATGCGCTGACGCCGTTATGTCGATTTAAGCAGATTATGGAACAAACATGCAGCTGTTGTCTACTTCTGACTTTTACTGAGGAAATGATTCATCCATTATTTTTCTTGTAAAGGATCCTTTGATATTTTTGCTTTAACTACATACACCTTGTCTGCTGAACAATCTGTTTAAAACACTGGAACAAATTAGAACATCTTTTTGCAGTTGCTCTGTTTATCCAGCAGATGGAGATATTTACCCATAATTTCTCAATCTGTATCTACATTGAAGCTGCATTTCAATTGTAGTGTTGTATGTTATGTAAGAAGTTTTTCAGCTTGAAATTAACACTGTGAATAATGGAATAAATAGAAGATTTATGGATTATTTCCCTCTGTACTTGCAGAATCTGTTAACAACAATGCTGTCCTTGTATTGTTTTTTTTTTGTTTTTGTTTTTTTTTTTGCTTTATTTTTTACATTGTTGTATAAATTCAGACTCAAGCAGGCAAGCTGGATTCACTTTTGGTGTCTTTTAATGAAATTACTTGTGATGCACATCGGGTTACGAGAGTATTTTACAGGCTTGCCGCAGGGAAACGCTGTTCCCATCTCACTATCGACACTAATGGCTTGTAATGGAGTCCCTCTTAATATTGAAAGCTTGGACTTCTAGGAAATGGATGAGCTTGCACAAATGTGAATTAATTCCAGTTTGGAGTTGCAAATTTCATTCTAGTAAATATAAAATCTCCCTAAAAATAGATCCATTGTGTTTTCGTCAACGCCATATACCTGAGTAACATGTTACACAGGTAGGTTAGGTTGTGGGAAGCAGTTCCTGTGCCTTCTGGGAAACGTTCTCTAATCTGTCAGTAGCAGTGCCATCAGGAAGTAAACTTTGTTTGGCCAGAGAACAAGTTTATCCACTCCTCTCACCTGAGATGGAACGGAGGAGAGATTTCACATGAAATGTTTGCATCTTCAGTGCAGGTTAAATACAAAGGAAACCATTCGATAAAACTTCCTAAATGTGTATGTAGGACAGTTCATGAATCTGTTTTTAAAAGGTTTATGTGAAAATGAAAACATGAGGGAATGTGGCAAGAGAAGGAAGTTTGAAGGACTAGACTGGTAGGAGACAACACAATTTGAGAGATACGAGGAAATAAAAGTTGTAGCCTAATTTGTCTGAGGAGGAAACGGTAAAACCAACAGGCATTCAATCACAGTTATAACAGATTACTGGGTGCACCTCATTGTTTAAAATGGATTTTTCTCCACCGTGAAAAATCAAAAATGCTCTGTTTTAACCCTCCCACGCCGTTAGTACGACGCTCAGGAGCAGCCCTGACAGTATCACGGTTGGATAACGGGAAAGCAGGACGTTGTCCCGTCAGATAGTCAGTTCCTAAAACAACACACACAAAAACTTGTGAAAAAAAAAAAGCGTTAAAAAAACTCATGGGGTTGAAATGAGCCCCATGAGGTCATTTGAACCTCATGGGGGTCATTTGATGTGTGTTTAGGAACATTGTCCAATTGGAACACCTGAATATGTCCAAGTGTAAACCATCTGACCAAAGCTTTTTTTTTTTTTAAACTAATGACAATGTCCAATTCTGGTCACAAACCATCTGCTCTATGTGGCTTAAGGTAAACTTTAAGTAGGGCTTCTTCTGACTTTCTTCTTGCCATATTTGTGCGGTTTAAGAGTGACCGTTGTCTTCTTGGCTGCTTGATGAAAGCCAGAGCAAAGGAGGCTGATTACGCTTGACTTTTAACATTTTAATTCTTCAAAACTATGAAAGCCAAGTATCTATGCTCTTCCACTTCAACATTAAAAGCTGTATTAAATGCTTTTAAAGTACAAATAAAATACATTGAGTTTTCACTATCGCTCGAGGGCGGAGATACTAGAAGCGTAGCTTGATTGTTGTCGAAGGTGTGCGCGTGCGTGCTGCCAGCGCGCACACTTTCACGCGCCCAGCCCTCCTCTGCTCCGAGCCTCTTCGCCTCGCGCTGCAGCTAGTAGACTCATCCCTCTTAGCAACACCTCTCAGTCGGGACTATCATCCAGAGACGGCGGGCGGCAGCTCTGTAAACACACCGGGAACTTGTCAGCTGCTCCGGGTCAACAAAACAGGGACGATAAAAACAAACAAACAAAAGTAGTGTTCTGTGAAAGGAAGCACGTCGGCTGCTGTTGCTTCTATCACTGGAGCAGGAAGGTGGTTTCTAGGAGCACTTTGCTGGCCAGCTAACTACACCGACACCTTACGGGCCAGGCAGGAGAGAGCAGAAACAAACAGCCGAAAAGGGAACCAAGTAGGGCAGTTCTTTGCTGGGTGAAGAGGTAAGCTTCTTGTATCGGGTGGTGGTTGCTTGCTTCACTCTTCCTTTTCTTTCGGACGCCTTACTATGTAGCATGACTCTTACCGTTTACTTGCAAGAACACTTAATATATATATATTTTTTCCTCTTTTGTCATTTATTGTATATTTACAAAAGGTGGAAGCGCCTTGGAGTCTGTTCCCCTTGTCAATTTTTTTAAAAAAATATATATATTAAAAATCACCTTCTCTTCTTGTTTGAACTCTCCTCCTAATTAAGGAACAGATGTGGCAACTGGCCGAAAATCAATAGTGTCCATTTCCTGTTGGTTGGGTGTGCAAACAGTGCTGCCAGCTGAGGGACCTGGCTGCGCCGTCATCAGCCTCCACACACAGCACTGGCCTGTGTTTGTTTTACTGAAACACAGTAATGAGTCATAAAGTTGCCTTCTCTGCATGGAGATCGCTGTTACGATATGACAGCCAGTCGGTGTTGATGTGGGACTCCTTATCAAAGCCATCACTTGTACCGCAGTGGGATCTGTTTAACCAGGTGTTCTGTCAGGTCTATGTCTTTCTCTAGAGATGTCCATTGCATGCAAAAGGAAAGTGTGACTGAGGTTTTCCTAGGGTTCCTGTTAGCTGATTGTAGTATAAAAATAGATCACTTTAAGTTATTCACATATAGCAGTAAGTACATACATATCGCCCCTCTGGGTCCCTGACATAGCGATAATGTGACTGAAGATCCCAGAGTCAGTTTCTAACCTCAGATTTACATTAGCACCTAACAGGGAAAAGCCTCAGGTCACAAAGAAAACAAAGTCATTTCAGCAAGGACTGCACCCACTGCACTTTTCTTGACCAATCACTGAGCTTTAAAAAGCCTGAATTGCCTGTTCCAAATTTGCCAATGCTGACTTTTTAAAAATTTATTTATTTATTTTGTCTGTAAAGTCATTAAATGCAGTGACTAAGTTGGCACCAGCGGGTGCCAATGGTCAATTGACAATTGGTGCCAAATTTCTAATGTATAATTCCGTTTTATATATTTATGAATTGGTGCTTGTGCTTTGTCTGTTTTTAACATTGCCTATGTAACTTTATGTTGTTCTGTATGTTCGAAAGCCTGGCTGCAAAACAAATTTCCCCCTTAGGGCAGACAGTAAAGGAACTGAACAATCTCTGGCACTGAATTAAGGAATTAATTCAGTGCCAATTTATCAAATCATCCCAAAGTTGAACTTGATTTTTAGCTGTTAAAATTATTCAGATTTTAATCTTTATTAGTTTTTAAAAGTAAAGCATTGACAGCTTTATTGATTTAATTGAATTTTAATGGAACCAAAGTAAACAGTAAATGTATGCAATAAATGTTGATATTCCACTAATGTCCAAACAACCCAATTTTGCAGTTGCCGTGTTTCTATTAAATGAGAAATACAGTTAAAATCTCGTGACCCAGTTTGCTCCCACAATGTCATTAATAAACAGGCCGCGCCATCATCCTCATACCACTTCTTGTCGTCTGCTTCGTCTTTCCTGCCAGTAGTAACATCCATTTGGTCACCACACCACTGGTCATTTGTCCTTTTAAGCAGAGAAATGTAAGCCTGATGTTTACATGTAAAGATTTTTAATTAATTATTATATGAACTGAGTAAAAGTTATGAGGTGCCATAAGAATTGAAGTTGTATCAACATTTAACTAGTTCAGTGACAGCACAAGTGCTGTCAAACTTGCAGCACTATGAAAACTAATATTTGTGAAGTTATTACTAGCATCAGTTATTCTCATTAGTTGTGTGCCATGTCCAGCCCACACAGTGTTTATATAGCTCATTATATGAAGTCAACACAGTTAAAGTCAAAAGCTCTCATAAAACTTGAGGTTGTTAAACGTTTCTGCTTTAACAGAATTTTAGTTTAACTTGTTTTAGCTAGCTTAGCTACAGCGCTAAAGCCAAACCTGTTACAGGCAGTGTTGTTCCACCATATTTAAAAATAGAAATAGAAAATGTGAATTGGTTTTTAGCCTGAAATGTCACTGAAATGCTAATAAAGAATTTAGATGTATTTTTTTTTTAAAGAAAAGGTGGCATAAAAACCTTTAAATAAATGCTAATGTCAAACTTCTCAGGAAGTGTTTTGAGCTGGGACAGTTGTTGCTAGTGGACGGTTGTCAGGTAAAAAGGTCCATATGCCACCTTATCAGAATAGATTTCAAAAGTGTTACTAATGTCTTCATTGCAAAGAAATATATTACATTTTTTAACACATAGAACATACTATGAATGAAGATGAAATAATCTCAATAATTTTAAAAAGTTTACTTTTATCTTCAATTTAATTTATTTCAGTGTGTATTAATTGAAATAAATACATTTTATCTAATTTAGAATTAGTGATGTTAGATATTAGTGATTATAATTGCATGCCTGTTGCATTCATTATTGTTTGAGTTTGTAACAGCTTATTTTTTTTAGAAGCACAATACCTAGAAAACCTTTTTCAGGGGAAAAATGACTGTGTTCATAGAAGACATGGGCCTGGCTTCCTTTTAAATAATGAGCAAAAGTTGTGAAAGAGTGTTATTTTTACTACAGGCAACAGAGTTTCGCCATCAGCCAGCACACAAGACAGCACAAGTCTGTGGGTGTAACAAACAAGAAGCAGAAGATGTTTGAAAGACCGTAGCTGCAAATGTTGATATTCCACTAATGTCCAAACAACCCAATTTTGCAGTCGCCGTGTTTCTATTAAATGAGAAATACAGTTAAAATCTCGTGACCCAGTTTGCTCTCACAATGTCATTAATAAACAGGCCGCGCCATCATCCTCATACCACTTCCTGTCGTCTGCTTCGTCTTTCCTGCCAGTAGTAACATCCATTTGGTCACCACACCACTGGTGTGATGACAAAAAATGTTTCCGTTGCAGTTTTGCGAGATAGACTAATTTTGATAAAAACTGAAAAACCCCCTCATGCTTGCCCCAAAACTTATCAGAAATGTTATGTTTTTTTTTTTTTTGTTTGTTTTTTTTGCAATTGGATCATTTATTTTTGTAAGTGCAGTTTACACAGCTGGGGTGAATACAACTCTAGAAAGTGAATCCTACCTACATTTAAATTGAAAACAAAATGATCTTTGGCTTTCTGTTTTGTTACTTTCAGATATGCAAGATATTTTTAAGCTAAATAATTGAAAAGATTGTTTATATTTACACTTCAATAGGAAGTTACATGAGCTTAAATTGACTCATATTGCTTGTGTGGAAGGGAAGGACACTGACCTCATAACTTGCAATTACTTTGCATCTACTTGCGTTGATGCGTTGAATGACATGCTTTCTGAAATATGCAGTCGTGTTTTTTTTTATCTCTTTTTACAGTCATAATGCCACCAGATCGTATCTCTATATCTCCGCCTCATGTTGAAAACCTCCATTTAGCCACTTAAAAGTCAAACAAACTGACTGCTCTCACTGCTAATGGGTCTTCCACGCAGCCGAGTCATGCTCTGGTCTCCACGGAGATGCGGTCTCGGTAGACAGAGGCAGGGCTGCGGCGATTGATCAGCCGTGCGCTTGAAAGCAAAGAGACAGCCAACTTGTTGCTCTCCACTTAATACCCAAAAGCCGAGCAGCTGCTCCCCTCCTCCCACTGTTTAGGCAGCTAACAATGAAAGGGCCTGATGGCAGGTAATCTCACATCGGCCCGCAGGAGAGATGGCAGAGATTAACACTTTAAGTAAAGCAGGTGGCAGGGCTTTGTTTATTTAGAGCTCTCAAACTTTTAGACGTCTTATTTTACACATTTTCATCTGTCTCGCATCTGATCCACTATTGAATTTGTATGTGTTTTTCCATCTATAAATAACATCTTACTGTATAGTAATAGACTGTATATAATCCCCTCCTTCTTGTGAAAACATAAAACTACTCTGGGACAATGTGATTACATGTGGCCCTTTATCACAGTTCAAAAACAGCCTAAGTTTGGTTTGCCAGTTCAGTTGATGTTGCAATAAAGTAATTAATCGCATGATTAAGTAAACAAGCTTGATAATTTCCATTTGCATGATTTATTGTTTTTCTCTTTTCTCTCTTCCTACCAAAAACTGTGACAAAAGTCTTCAGACCGGCTCATTGGTCTCAGATAGCTGTTTTTTTTGAAGGGCAATTTTGTTTACAGAGGCTTCATAATTCATTTTTTATTGTTGTTTTTGTTCATTTACTGTGAATATTGAAAATGTCTTCCAGTTCAAATGCTAAATGTTCATTAGAATTTAAACTGCATTGATCTCAAGAATGTGTTACCGTGCCATTAGCATTACATTATTTTATTACTTGATAATTGTCTCAAAACAACAATATTATCATTTATCGCAATAATTTCTGGGATAATTTATTGCCCAGCAAAATTTGTTATCTTGACAGGCCTAGATGCAGATCTACATTTAAAAACAATTTTAAGGTGAATTTCTCAAAGAACGATACAGTATTTAAAAAAAAAAAAAGATGTTGCAAGATGCAACATAAGTATTCATCCAGATTTTTGTTTTTAACTTTAATTATTGGTAATTGGAACAAAAAACATCCAGTGGCTTTTACTGAAATGCGAACTTGGACATGCCCATTTAATACACTTGGCAAAGTAAAGCAAGAGTGAGTCACATCCTGTTCTTGCTGCTGACATTAAAATATTGAGTTTATTTAGCAGATAAAAATCAAAATGTAAAATGGTTGTTGCAGTTATAGTTAAAAAGAAAAAATGTGGTCCTGATGTAACTTTCAGTTCGACATTTGTGGCCCCATGATAAAAGGTTTGGACACCACAGGTTTAAAGGTCTCCATGGTGGCTTTAGTGACATCTGTTGGCAAGTTGTAGAATGCAACAACCTAAATATTACTGACAACGTTTGTGATTTAGAAACTGTTAAAAAATGATAAAACTGTATTACTGAGTGTAACATGTTTGTATCATGCTTTAGATAGTATGAGATTCTCATGGAATGATGACCTAAGAATATAACAAAAAAGTTAGGTAAAAATATATAAAAATATTTAATTGCTCTGGTTGAAAACAGAAAAATGAACAATTATTCTTACTGCTGCTAAAATAATCTAATATATTGATGATTCGAATTTGAATATTGGCGTCCAGAACATTTCTTTATTGTTTTAGTTTTCATAAATTCACCAGTCTCTCCATTTTTTTATTGTTGTGTTTGTTTTGTTTTTGCAACTTATGAATTCAACCTTCAGATCAACATCAAACCCTATGACATTTGATAATACACAAGCAATTCAGGTCAATTCATTCTTTTTTTCTTCTATGTATATATTTTGGAAGATGTTTAATCAGGAAAAATATTACAAAATTTTTTTCAAATATTTCCAAAGTAGAACCACAAAATCAGTGATTTTGATAGAAAGAAAATCACAACAAATGGTGAAATCCCGAGGAGACTGTTTAATCTAGGTAGAAATATATGACAAATTCTGTCTGGATTAAGAATCAGTTCCCAAAAGGTCTTCCAAACGGACAATAACACACCAAAACAAAGACTTGACTCTGACTCAAGATTTTGGACTCAAGTCTCATGAACAATTAAATATATTAAGGAATTACGTTACAATAAAGATTTCTCTCAAGATTAATTCAGTGCTAAATAACTGTTGGCATTTCCTTACAAAAACTTACCTCAATCTGAATTTGTTATTTAAACAAAGACTTTTGGTTCTTGAAATAAAAGAACTTCTGATCAATTTTAGTGAGGAATTAAGGATCCTCTCTCGATTATTCGCCACGCCATCCCTGACCATTTCTTATTTGTACTAAACCATGGAATGTATTTAACGTTTCCACTTGACATTGGCAACAAAACTTTTAAGCACAGACTTAGTTTATGGTTTCCTGATAGTCATGGAACTCGTCAAAGGATTGCTGTGTTAATGTCTTCAGACTTGGACTTGGATAAACTTATGTTCCTCAGTCTGTACTACATCTGTTATTTATAACAATGTTTGCAATAAACTCCGATTTCAGTAAGCATTTCTTATGACCATTTGTATTTTTATTAATCCTTTTTTTGGGGTGAATTTGTACTCCCTGCTCTGCAGATGGCATCTACCGACTCGCGGCTCCATCAGCCTCCCTCGCAGAAAGACGCGGCCGACCAAAACTTCGACTACATGTTCAAGCTGCTGATCATCGGCAACAGCAGCGTCGGTAAGACCTCTTTCCTGTTCCGCTACGCCGACGATTCCTTCACCCCCGCCTTCGTCAGCACCGTGGGCATCGACTTCAAGGTCAAAACCGTCTTCCGCAACAACAAGCGGATCAAGTTGCAGATTTGGGTGAGTGGCTGGAGCTGGGATTGAGATGTTATACCACACCAACTGCAGGTTGAACAACTAGCACACTTAGCAGCAATTTGAATGTCTGTAATAAGAATTACTTGAAGTGGAAACCTTTGGGTGCCCGTGTTTGTTTATGTGGATTTGGCCTGTGAGCAAGTTTTTCTCGTCAGTTGTGCAAATGCAGAAGAATGACTTCCTCAAGTTTTCACATTCTTTCTTCCTACTCTTACCTGGCATCTGCTGAGAGTTCCTGGTTGATGCTTGAGGAGATGGTTGTACTGATTAAGGAGGTGTGGCTCTATTTCAGGTTTCCAGAGTTGCACTTGAAGTGACAAAGCTCAGGTTAAGCCCAGGTTAAAAGGAGTTTAAAAAAAAGGACTTGTCAAGTTTTTATTGGTTTATTTTAAATCAATAGTTCAGAACCTTGAGGTCATGTTTAAACACGACTTTACAAAGAGTGAAGACAATGACACTTTCAATTTTTTGGTTAGGATTCAGATATTTTATCATCATACCAGCTCATGTTTCCATATTTGTGGTGGGAAATTCAGACTCTGCATAAATCCAGATATAAATCCAGATGGGTTTGTCCCAGGGTCTGATTGTACAGTTTGAACGGGGCCCAGACCTAAAGGGACCTCTGCAGTCTCAAAACGTCACAGCAGTTTATGCAAACACTAGTTTATAAACCTTTACGACATTGTCACGTTTGCATTGGGTGGTTATTTATACAGAACCTGTCAGTCATTTACACTAGCAATGGAGGCAGGAGACAGTATGCCACCAAATCATCTTCCTGTGAAAAAGCTGAAAGAAACAAAGGGATTGTAAAAATCTACTTAAAAGTATTAAATTAAAATTTTTTATACATTTTTTTTTCACCACCTAACGCAGATGTAGTGACAGTTCCGAGGTTCATATAAAATAGCATTTGCATTACAGTGTGTTGTGTTTTGGAGATTTGAGATGGTACTTTGATGGTACATATGACAGACAGATAACTGCAGCAGCCGACACAGTCCCCTTTCTCTGGGATTATTTCAGTATCCTTTTAACAAAA